AGCTTTATCAGTTGCTGCATACGCGCACACCCACGCCGGACAAACGGAAAAGAGACACCAACAATTTGGCACTCCCTACCGTACATAAAGAATGTGTCCGAGGCCACAGAACGCATCGCGTCAGAGCTAGGCGTGGGCATCGTTCATCATCCGGCTGCCACCATGCGTAGCAGGATAATGAAAATGAAGAATCGGCTGGACGCAGGTGAACAGTCGGGCGTAGTCTATTGAATCCCGTGCCAAAACTGGCCTTGCCACTACACAGGCTTGACAGGACGACGTCTGAGCTCACGAATACTTGAACACAAACGGGCCGTTCGGAGAGGCGACCCACTGTCTCAAGTAGCCACTCACACGCTCGAGGAAGGGCATGAGTTCGACCTCGACAACAGGCGGATATTGGCGCGAGCCGGCAACAAGACAGGGCGAGAGCTGTTGGAGGCGTGGGTGTCGGACACCAACTATATCAAGAGACACGTCGATTTGCCTGCGTGTTATCACGCGCTCCGCTCACTCAGCCAGGTGGCGCAGCTCATACCGTCGTGAAGTGCAAACGGCGTCACCACGCCGGGGGAACATCGTGAACCAGGCGACACAAACCCTACCTAACCACGGACGTACTCCCACTCCCCCCGCAAGGATGAACGATATAAATGTTCTCAATTTGCTGCACTCGAGTAGCCTCTGATGATGAACTCTAGTTCGAGTTCGAAAGTTCAGGCAAATAAACCTACTGTCCCAGTGATCGTGCCTTCGCCTTCTTTTAGGATGCTGTTTATTTCCGCCAAGTCAATTTGTCCCGACAATAATCAAAATTAAACTGAAAGAACCCCAGACATTAAAAAAAGCAGTTCCAGCATTTGTTGTCCCCAGATGAATCGACGGCATGTAGCATTAAATTCATCTTTTACACTCCGTCAGTGGCTGCGTTTTTACCGAACAAACTGGGGCTCGAAATGTCTCGTTTAAAAGTTCGTGCCTTATCGGATTTATGCATTTTTCTGATGCATGTAGACCGTTGCTGTGAATTTGGGCGCCAAAGCAGAAAAAGCCACGCGATGCATTTTGGACGTGCTACTGCCGAAAATGGCGAAACCACTACGAGTTCGAAGAAAAAAGCCACTAGCAAAGCAGCTGCTGACAACAGCAATAACACGGACCACAGTTATTTTTCATCTTTTGGACATAAACGCACAGCGCTTTACATAAATCATCTGGTAAAATTCGCAAAGAACCGAGTCCTTAGACTGGGCGGAATAGCCCATATAAGGGCCACCATTTTGACAAACTCCCCGTGGCTTAGGGATGTGCGCATTCAAAAGACTCCAAATTGGTTGCATTTAGTAACAGAAGCCAAAAAACCATTTCGCGCCTAAATGTGAAAGAGGAATGCAACAGTGTAAAGCAAACGTCGCCGTTAAAACCCCGTAGAACGGAAATTATTGATAAGATTTTCCAGCATTGGAGACTGCAATTAGTAAAACTTTTTTGTCACATAGATGCTATTTTCGGCTTATGGTCAAAATGGTCATTATGCTGCATTAATCACAGGGCTTGACGTAAACTAATGTTCTGTGGCAAATTATTCCGGTCAACGTAAAGTAGGCGTGCGAACTCGTAGAATGCTAACCAAAAATTAGGAATACCTTTTCAACTCCAAAGGATTACATATGTAATTTTGTAACATAAATTACCTTGAAGCATTATCTTTAAATAATTCAGTTACTCTAGAATGGCAGCATTTGAACGAACATCTATCCGGCCGACTGCATAAATGGCAATCCGTAGCAATGACAACTGAACCAGCATAAAGGTTTGTCATTGATTTTCGTGCCCATAGAAAGCCAAATATATTTCACAGACATCGTGAAGAAAAACGTTTATTTTTTGCTTATTTTGTGACAATCGACGTCCTCTTTAAATTTTAAATTAAATAAAACGTACAACTCAGTTTTAAAACTGTTTAAATTTTCAAATAATTTTAAACCCGACCTCACGTTAGACCTGCATTCAGGGATTCGAAACCACAAATCGTATTTTTTCTGTGTAAGGACATTTAAACATTCCTATAGGGTGTTAAAAGCACTAGGAATACACTATATTGGGCAGTAGATTTAATTCAAATGTTAAACCTTACAGGCAGCAGAAGCAAACGCAATATGCATCGTTCTATAAAGTGACATTTTACGGTCTTCAAAATGTTATACATAAACCTCTTGCAAAGGTACTACCTCTTAGAGTGCATAATCAAAACTTCAATTTCCTATCATTTGATAAAAAAAGTTTCATACTCGAATTCTATAAAATATGTTTGAATGTATAAAGACATCAACGGTCAGAAGGAAAAATTTATGCTTTTTAAGCAGTCATTTTTACAGTGTTATCTTATTTATGCTATTGGAAAAACGCTCTTATAAAAGCCGGCATTTTAAATTAGGTGAATTTTGTTGCTATCATGTGCCAACGTGACCAATATTTAAAACACCACGTATATAATCTTCTAGAGAAAAAGTTATTTCCGCATTTCGGTTAACATTCCACGAGTTATTACATCAGCCCTCTCGTATAATACTTTTTAAGCTACGAAATCAATCAGTATTTATACATTAGCAGAAAAGGTAGCACGATATTTTTGCGAAGCTCCCTGACGGCGCCGTTTTGAGGTTGCAATGCCAAAAACGGGAAACTAGGGAACTTGCACGCAACAGTTGCGCGTCACATAATGCCAGTGGGGACGCGATTTTTTAACTAAATTTTATTTCTCTCAGAATATTGAATACGAATGGAAACGGCGACAGTCCGGAAAGCTTTTCCATCTAGCCAATTCCGTATCCTGTAAAGTACATTAATATGACTGGTGCTTTTTTTAAAGTATCCCAAGTGATTAAGCACTTATTTTAGAGGCAATGTTTTAAAATAAATCCAGACATTTATGTGCGCAATAAATTTTGCAGCCATTAGATTTCCAAATGGAACTTTATCAGACTAATCATATGTTTGAAAGCATAATAAACAAACGAAAGACGCTTAATTAATATTAATGTTTATTTTAAGACCCATGGAGTGTGTCTGGATTAAATTTTATATTTTAGCAAACACAGAAGGCCTGTAGACGTCAGTTCTAAAATTTACTGCGTAAAAAAATTAGAAAATTTCAGCCAAAAAGAGTTACTCAGATAGTGCGTGCCTATACATATGCGGAAAAATCATGATTTTCCAAAAGAATTTATACATGCGACTGTGAGCCTTCTGATTTGCATCAAAAAACACCCGACGTCTGTCCAGTACTGATGCAGGCGGATTTTAGACCGCCTTGCATTTGCAAAGAGAGGAAATGCGAGCTTCATAATGGAAATTTTCCCCTGAAGTTTTAGATAAACATTGAAGCGCATAGTCAGAGACAGCAGCATAAACCACATCAGAAGATTTGCTAAAAAGAAGGCTAATATAATATTTATCAATCAAACAACTGCCCCTGCCGCTTGATTAAATTCGTCCAGAACATCGCAAACAAGCGTATGCTTTGGTTTCATAGCAAACACAACAGGTCAATTGAAACACGCAGACCTGGCTACTTGCGTAAAATCGATGCAATCGGGGTGTTCTAAAATAAGACAAGCCTGCCTTCGTTTTCAGCTCAGTATACACAATTATGCACGTTATCATTTGCGTGGAGTTTATCAGTTTGTTTAATCCATTGGCGTGCGTGGTGTATGCCATTGCGTCAAGTGGTGTTATTGGAAAACCCCAAGGATATTACCACTTTCATAACGATACACTAAAACCAGCATAACCTACATATTGAAATATAAAAAAGGTCTTTTTTAGTTAGTGCAGTTCAGAGCACCCTTAGTTGAACCTACGATGCCCAGAATATCCCAGATATCAAGAAATGTCGAAATCGGAGGTGTGAGTAAGACTGTTCTATGTACTAATTACATGAATTCCCGAAAAACAACGTCTGAAATTCTGAATTCACTTTAATAATAGTAGCGCGATTGTTGCTAAGGCACGTAAGCCGTAGCACATTGTTCTAGGCAAAATAGGACGGCCGAAAACAAGGAGGCTGACCTTATTAGGACATTGTCGGGCAAATAATGTGCAATCAAAGGGGTGACACATGCCGGTAAAATTCAGAAAATGCTAAGTTTGATTAACGTGTTCATTAAATGGAAATTAAAACTCGACCCATTTTGCCAATTTCACAATTTGCCAAATCCTAAGCAATCGTGCTAACGGAGAGTAGGACATGTGTTGTTCTAACATATTTTCGTATTTAGCAGTCTGTTAAGATGGCGCCACAAATGCAGTCTAGAGATCACTTAAATATATCACGTTTCAATAATTTAATACGTAATTAACAATCTCAAATCACTTGCTGGATTGCATCTAAACATAAACCACAATTTACTGACAACGAAAATTTCACATAGGGTAAGAGACTAATTTAGAAAACCAATATGAATAGCATAATTCAATATCTAAAGTATGATCCCTGCGACAGTAAAATTAATACTTTAAAGTGGTCTGATTATACTTAATTACTAACATTTTGAAATGGCATTTGGAACTTTTAATGTCATTTTTTCAAAAAAGAAATGCAGGTCAGTTTAAGGAGTCCTTTAGACTTTTAAATTGCGCGCTCACAACGAAAATTTTTTGGAAGATTTTCATAGGTTGGTTAGGTGACCAATCAAATCAATGCACACTTATACCCTCCATTTCAGGAAGCATATTAAGTTACTAACGCGAGAAAAGACCAGAACTCTTTGGAAATGTGAAAGTGGTTTGCGAAACGTTCTTAAGAAACACACAACGCAGGTTTTAAATAAACAATGGAAAACTATACACTGCATTCAAACCATCAAGCCAACTCAGCTTGGACCTTAAGATCTTCCTACACCATGATTGGAATTTTGAGCATATTCTATGCGGCGATGTTCATAGCTGGACTAATTGGGAACTTCGCAGTCCTTCTGATTGTCCTCCGCAATCGTCATATGCGTTCAGTGACAAATATATTCATCTGCAATCTCAGCGTCGCGGATCTCTTGGCCACAATATTCGTTGAGCCGCTGACCTTATTGCAAAACATATTCATAGGTATTTGTTTTATATTTTAAAATGATTTTATCATAATTAGATTAAATAAGCACCTTTGATACATTTAAAGAAGTAAACAATTTATTCTTTGATACTTTCCTTGGTGAAATTTTTGGAATCGTTTGTCAAACAGGCATTTGTGGAAACCTTTTTGAGCACACTAGTTTTATACTAATATTATGTTTATTATTATTCGCTTCATCTGCTCTTGCACCTAAAAGACTATTTGCTGAATAGAAAAGGGTCCTTATACATAATTACTTATGTCGGTCGCATAGCATGCCATATTTTACCTATGTTTTACCGATAATCTTTGCTAGAAAACAGAGCTATGATATGTTACGTTGATCATTAGGTCCCCGAAAGGACCGCGTGCGCTACATAGCAGATACTTTGGTCTTCCAATTTCAGCGTTTTTGGGTCTTTAGAAAGGAATCACCAAATTTGGGATTTCAGGTCTCAGATTGAAATTTGCTACTGAATTTCTGGGCCACTGTCAACCAAACGCAACCCAATAACCATGTAATATTCACTGATTATTAATAGACGACTGGTAATATAAACAGGCACATTTCGTTTGATATGACATACTTAAGAGAACAGGCATTAGCTAGTAGCCAAGCAGTAATTCACTGATTTTCTCCCAAAAGTTTTGCGACTATGATTTATTAACGTGCTGAAACTTCGTTGTTGATTTTATTTGTTGGTAATTGAGAACACTGAATTATTTAAATTACAATAGTGTTATGTAAGGCTTGCAGTTTTACGTAAGTACGCGCATTTTTATGTAAAGTTATTCTTAAAGCTATTCAACAAATAAGCACCTAGCATCGTGTTTATCTTTAAAATACTTAGTTGCAAAAATTGGATAGGCAGCCAACTTTTTGTTTTCAAACACTGATACCACTTTAAGTGCGCATATTTAAGCGTAATCTAACAAATATTCGTTTGAGGTGGTATGTGCGTTGAATCTTGCTCAAAATAATAAGACAATGATCTACTGTTTTCAGAGAACTTTTGGATAGATCGATTGGCTTCTAGCTGAGAAATCGACCACATATCAGGACTTATCACATAATAAAGATTACACTAAACGCCATTCTTGTTATCGTCAATTTTAAGGGCAATTTTATTGCCCCATGAGTTCGCTGTTTGTTAAAAACTCACATAAAAAAGCACACTCAAAGTATGCCTTAATTCAATTTTAGTAGTTTTAAATATCCGGCAGTTACGCCCATATATGGGAAATCACAAAAATAAACGCGGACTATAACATAACCTGTTTATTGCTGTTCTTCAAAATAACCTGTTTAATATGCTGTTGACTTATATAATCAAAAACGCTGTTATTGACAAAAGAAGTAACATAATACATCTAACAGACGTAATAAAAACTGCCAAGCTGAGATTGGAAACTAAAAAATGACCCATCCCATGCTAAAGCGCCCAAATTTCCGCTGAATAATTTGTATTCAAATGGAATGCAAGCGTGGCTAGTAACCTTCAGAAGTTGGTATATGTAGTTAGGTCGAACAGATGTGTATGATTGCCCTTTTTTAATAACAGACCCAACTGGATTTAATAGCGTTTGTTTATGGGAGATGATAAAGAAGTCACTTGGCGCATGATTGTGAAAGCTGGTTGGAGCAAACCGCATACCAACTGCACGTCAACTGCATGCTTTAGCACCTGGCCAGTCGAGCCGTTAAGAACTCGGGAGGTGCCAATTGCGATAGGCACGTAAGGGCCTAGCGACTACAATCTATAAGTACTGCAACATCTGGGCAATTTACCACCATCCGATGATGGATTTGAGTTAGAAACCGAAACGTCAGGCTAATTAAGCGATCGTGACTGCGTCTTCACAACAGCAGTTGCACAAGCCGAAGGTGTGTAGTCATGAATAATAAAAGCACAATTATCTAGTATCTAAGTAACATTGTCATACCTCCTTTGTTGTATCAAGCAATCTGCCGGCCCAATCATTTGACAGCTGCCAATTGCTTTCTACTTTCCAGCCCTGTTTGGTGTACGCGAGGAATAGACACAACTAATGCCTGAATTTATTTGTGTTTACGCCAAGTTTGTGAATGAATCAGTGTGGAAATATGCATCGGTGGTTCCTTACTCAGAGAATACTATAGTCTACAAAATCGTAGGAGATAGTTTAAGAGTAAATCAAAGCATCTTGTTAGTAGAGACACGGTCAGTGAACAATATTTTGAAATGCTAATGGAATTAGTAAACAGTGTTTCTGAGTGAGTGGGATTGCTGAAACGTGGTTAGTGTACTAAAAAACATGATGCATAATTTTCCGAGAATGTTTTAGATTTTCAAAAATTGACAGCAATATATGAACCCACTTGACTTTCCAAACATTATACTGGTAAATGTAAAGAGAAATCCCGGTCGTTTATGCGCATCGCGTTTTACGTAAATGCGTTTTGAACCTTTCATTTTGCATGCTTTGCAGTTTTCCAAAAAGCATTGTTTTTGTATATATTTTTTGCTAACTTCAAAATAAAAAACGCAAACATCATGTCCAAATAAAGCATCTACTCTAGTAAACTTTCCTTACAATAATTCTGCCGTCAGATTTCCACAGAAATCCAGATTTTATTTGCCTTGTGCTTTGGTTTAGAATGGCGATGGGGTGATACGACCTGCTGGTGCGTCCCCTATCTACAGGGAATCAGCGTTTGTGCATCTTCGCTCACACTGCTTGTCATTGCACTCGACAGGTCTGTTTTAATATATGATCCTTTATGTAATCATTTCGTTTCTTAGACAAACTGGGCTAATTTGTATTCAGCACTTTAATTTCCCAGCTGGTGAAATATATATCGTCTTTAATGTAATCATTTGGTTTCTAAGACCGTCTGGACTAATTTTTATTCGGCACTTTAATTTTCTAGCTTATGATATAACATTTTAATTCTATTTCTATGGGCAGGGATCTGCAATGACGAGGACTGTTAACTAAAACTATATGATGTGTTTCATACTAAAAAGAATCGCATAAGTACCGCCGTAATATTAACTGCTGTTCAGCAAGATCCTATGATATTTCAGGCAAAGAATATATCAAATTTTTGCTGAAGTTTTAGACCTGTTCTTTAATTGCACAAGTCATTTTAAATATATTTTACACAAATACATTAAAATAGCCATTCTGTATTTCATCTATTGGCAAATAAAGTTTTCATTAAATTGTAGATTTTCATAGTATTACCTTTACGTTCTAAAACTTTAAAGTAACGCTCATGATTTAAAACGGCAGTGTCCTCTTAAAAATGTCGCATATCTGAATTTGTCAGAGTTGTTTCCAATGCACACAATAAATCTTATGTCAGTTGAAACCATTTTGGCCCGTTAATTATATTTTTCCTGTAACGTATAAATACGCATGGAGTTTGTGCACGAAACATATGCACATTTCGGTCTAGAGAAATTGAATGCAACTATAATGATACATTGAGTTTTTAAATTATTTGGGATTTGTAGAAGCTTTAAAATTAAATTACACCTTAATTGTTAATAAATATCCAAAACGAATAATTCCGTAGGCTGTAGTAATAAAACATATATCTTCATGTTTTCCGTAAGATATATTTGAACTTATACGGACACCAAAGTCCAATGAAGCACATTATGCGACTTCAGTAGTTGGAGTTTAATTTAAGTCTTCAGCTGGGAAGAAGCTTGTTCAAATTGAGGCATCCTAGAGTGTCTTAAAAAGTATCTGGCGCTTATGCTATAAGGACATTTATACTACGACCTTTCTTTAGACTCAAATGCACCTTTTAAATTTCGGCTAACGTTTCTTGAGATAGCACGTTATATGGACATGCAAATTTTCCGCGCACGCAAACACTGTACAAGGGTTTTTTATTACAGAAGTAACCGATCGTTTCTTTACATTTTCCCCTAGATACTTCGTCTTTTTTTGTTTTCGATCACTATGGCACCTAAACAGACCGCGTTGTGCCAGGTTCAAATGCATAAAAGCCAACAGTAATGTGAGTGAAACGCTAGGAAGTACTTTACGTGATTCCCCTCAAAAAAAGGAATCCTCACATATATTAGTAGATTCACCCCTGATTGTAAACAAAATACCGTTTAACATCTGTTCTAACGTCTGTGCACGCATTAAAGAGTCCCGCTACCTCAACTTCTTGTCGAAAAATGTGCAATAAGTGTTTAAATTGCAGACTTATCAAGCACCTCTTTAAATAATTTTTTTTCTCATAAAGCGCCAAGGAAGCTAACTGATTGGTACTTAATGTCGGACGAGGCATTCCCGAATTAGGCAATAATGCTTAGCCCGCATAAGTAGAGAGCATGCAGTCGGTGAAGTCCAGGAAGTTTCCGCTAATAAATTATGACACATAAATAAGTAGGCTCGAAAACGAAAACCGAAAAATGGTTTGGGATGTAGCAGATGTTAAAAACAAAAAGTAAGGTTTATAGCACGGAGTTAAAGATGCCACACACTTACGACAAGACCGACAGCATGAAACTGTTTGTGTGTACGAAGATCTTAAAGGAGTCACGTTGCGAATTAGTTGGCAGAATGCATTTCTCGTGTCAGTGACTGAGAGCAGGCTCTAAAGTTGGTTTTCTTGAATCAGTACGTACAAATATTCTCACCTTTATCATGTCCAATTACTCTTCTTGCGTTTAAACGTCTATTACGCTATCTTCACGTGATTATTTCAAAAAGAAAGGACAACAAATCTTCCAAGACGCTTTATTCACGCAGATGAGGAAAATCGGCAGGTTGCAATATTCTTAAAAAGTACTCCAAGTTACACACTACGCGCGGAATCACAAGCGTTCAGCCTAAAAAAACATGAGAGTCATTCGTCGATGGGACATTATTTTAAGACGAAAGTAAATGGCATGTGTCCTACCAAACTGCCTTCACGTGCTGATACCCATTACCGTCATTTAAAATAATACTCGAGCGCATACTGCATGAACTTATTCAACATGTGAAAAAAGTTTTCAGGTTTTGCGTTGTCAAACTAGACTACTGTGTATATAATCGCCATGCCTGATTTAAGTAGTACGATAGGACACGCTTGCGTTTCTCTGGTATATGCATTGATTAAAATGTGAATTTTTTTTTACCAAAATATACTTTTTAGGCATGGCATCTGCTGTTTATGCGTGAAGAGGTAAATATGTAAAGAATATAAAAACACAACCTCTATCCCAGAGATCGCGTGTTCATCTTCTTTACAATAAGAGCCTAGAAGTTGCATATTCGCTTACATCCGTGAAAATAAATATGCTTTATTTTAAGTTTGACAAACAGCAGCAATCTACCTTATATCTTGGGGCAATTAGTTGAAGATTCTGAAGGCTGCATAGTGGTTGCCGACATCCTAAGCTCCCCCAGACTTTTAAGTGCATTTCGTCATCGCTAGAAAATGCATAGGATTTTGTGCTGAGAAAATTTCCCCAAAACATACTAAATGGTGTGTCTACGATTAACTTTTTTTGACTTTGGACCACTTATTTCATGCATCCATGAGTCCTTTGTTATGTGGCCTAATGAAAACGTTTTTTACTTTCGATAAGACTTCTGGGAGGTCAACCGGAGTTTTCTTTACTTTGGCCGGCCGCATCTTGAACACTGCTGAGACCGAAAATTGCATGAAATTATTTCACTTTACTTGGGCTAACTAATTGAAAAGACAAACTTATACTTGCCCGACCATGCTGGATCTCACGCTAATTTTCATTGGTCATATAATTTTGAAGGAGTCGTAGGCGTTTTTGCAAAGATTTTGTTATTACGAATTCTTATTAATTTAGTTGTTCGTGTGAATAGGCGCACTGTAGACATGTGATTGACCTTCAACTCCTTCTAATAGATGATCATTATTTAAGGAGTACCCTCTGCTGTGTTTATACAGATACCTGGCTATTTGTTTTCCAATGCGGAAGCTCATTCGACGAACATTGGCCAAGAAGCTGATCGTTGTCATATGGATTATCTCGGCCATCCTCTTTATCCCCTGGGCAGTACACTACAAAGTAACCGTCAGTGAGGGCGTTAATGTCTGCCACGAGCTATGGCCCTCGGAGACCGCTGAACGCTTCTTTTTCCTCGGCATTGTAACCATCTTGGTCTACACCGCGCCCCTGCTCATAATGGCCTTCTGCTACATAAGCATTATTCTGAAAATATGGGGACGATTCCAGGAGGAGGGTCCCCGTGATGAGAAAAGCATTACGAAAGATTTCACTAACGAGGAGGATTATCGAATCAACCCGGACTCAATGAGCGCTGAAAAGAGCTCCACTGTAAACGGCCATGACAGTTTGTCCAGTGAGAAAACCTATGCAACGAGGTACTATCCCGGCGTCAGATGGCAGCAGAATGAACCGACGTAAGTGTCCTTACATATACTTCAGATGAAATTGCATTCTCACCGAGGTATGGCATTTAGCAGTCATTTGTCTTCGTCTGATGATCATTCAGTAAGTGGGGTCAACCTCGACGACCATGATGATGGCGATGATGGCAGACATGCTAAGGCAAAAGGTCTGGCAGCGTGTGCTATGCTATTACCGGCAAACCATGGACCTCACAGCTTAATATGCGTTGACGGTTCTCTAATACTTGGTTTCCTGCCGGTAGATGCGTATGCGCTTCCGCCGTGTATACAGGTGTTTAACATGGCTGCCCACTCATCCTCGTCCTTCTGACCACTGTTGGTCAGGCGTATGTTGTTGTCCGGGGAGTGTGGGGGCACGCGTAGGTGCGGGTCCGGTCGTGTCAACCACCTGCGTTCTCCCCTCCCCGGTCTTCTTGGTTCTGCCTTGAGACCGGGTTGAGGTTGGGAGGAGGAGAAAATGTGTTAGATGCTGCGCAATTCTACTATCCCTATAAATTAATTCACAGGTAAGTAGTCCTGTCTGCTGCATCTTGTTGAGTAGCACACGATGCACACCATCTAATCGGCGGCCGAACTGTCGTTGAGCATATTGACCTGTAAAATGCCGTTGATTACGACTTCAGCATTACTCGTAATGTTGATGATAATGATGATGAGGCCAAATCTATTTCGTCCTTGTGAAATTCTGCTGTTGTGTAAAAGACAGGTCCATGTGCATAGCATGCAAAGGTGGCTTGTTTTTGACTTCATTAGCCAATATCAGCATCAGTTGTTTGAACGACTTAGACAATGAACTGATGTAAGTGGAAGGTAAGGAGAATGTGAGTTCCACTTTCATTCTGATGATCCTAAATATATAGTAAGTGGGCTAACTCATGAAATGTTAACAGAAATTCCGAAATTCGTATCCGTTTCTATAAGATTAATCAAGTAAATTTGTAAAACTGATTAACATGCAGACTAATTCTACAATACTTCAGTTACCCCGGGACGCCGGCATTCGAGTAAACTTTCTTTCCGGTTGCATTCAAAGGCCATAATCCGTAAAAATGCCTACTTAAGAATCACGTTTTTGTTTTATTGATTTTTGATGCTCTTAAAGATTTAATTGTATTTCATAGAAACCATGCATAAAAGTATTCATTATTTTTGCTCATTCAGTAGGAACTTACGTCTACTTTCAATTTTACACCCGAATGCTTGGTAAATTTGGTTTTATAACATTTTTCCAACTGCCGAATGATTTTAAACCTAACCTACCGACACACGTGCATTCAGGATTCAAATCTACAAGACGTATAAGTTCCGCATAGATAAAAACATAACTTTCTCTATCGTATTAAGAGGAGACAATATGGGTTTCATAAAAGGAAGCGGTGGATTTGAGCCATATAGTTAACTTTACAAGCTACATTAGCAAATTCAGATACTTGACGCTTTATAAAGGGTCATTTAACGGTATTAAAAATCTCACAATTTGAAACTTTTGAAAACCAAACTTTTAAGCATGTTTTACATGAGACATAATTGGACCTTTAGAGCTGCCGAACATTGATGAAAAAATGCATGCTTTTTAAGTAGCTATTTTTAATGCAGTATGTTTTTTGATGCAGCCGGAAATAAGTTTAGTCAAATGCCATCGTCCTGGGGTAACTGAATTATTATAGAATTGTTCTGCACGAAGATTGGTTTTACAGCCCTACTTAATTAATAGTTTTGTAACGGAAACGTATTTTGGAATATCTGTTGACGTATCGTGAGTTAGCCCACCTACTGTAAACACATGGGCGCATAAAATTCAATGACTTGTACGGCTGCCAACTAGCGGGATTGCCTGGTCCTCCATTTGGGACTCAGACTGACAAGGCTACTGCATAATGCGGTATTTACGGTCGTCTCCCTGAAAAAAGATACGAGATCTCCTTAAGTTCTTCTTTTGTGAAATCCTGGTCCAGTTAGTTTGAACTAGAGGGTTTAGCGGCAAGCAGAGGTGCGGGTCAGCCATTTGCGCCAAATCCCGCGTCCACTTCAAGTCTTGAGACCGAGTCAAGATGAGAGAGTTCCGTAGATGCTGCGCAAGTCACCTTACTCACGTGCAGGCCGCCATCACAGCGTACGCCACGCTGTGCGGCGCACAAATGTCGTTAGAAACGGCGGCCGAAATGCCCATTGCGATGACGATGATTCTTTATCGAAATGCCACTTAAAGCTACTATTCACGGACCACTTATTTACACTGAGCTCTCACAAAATGTAAGAATCTGATATGCCACGCTTCAGCAGGTCATGGCTCTCGCGGCCTTGTTTGCCCTGACAGTTCTCTGACCACTGGTTCCCTGGCAGCAGATGAGTCTGCGCTACCATTGCGTGCGCAGGTTGTAAGTTTAGCTGTACTGTCAATATTGTGCTCCGATCACTTGTGTTGTTGTATCTGATGGTCAACATTCGCGTCATTTGTTGTGTGAGGTGAAGCGCCGAGGTGCGGAATCGGCCGCGCCATCCACCTGCGTCGTCTGTCGCCTCGGGACTTGTTCATATTGTTTTCGCATAAAGTAGATACGGCGGAAGTCTACGCTCACTGTAAGCTAATTCACACGCAATTCACCATGCTTGCGTAAGGTTGCTGTGGAGCGCACGGTGGAACTGTCGATTAAGAGTGACCGTTGATTGCAAATACGTAACTTTGACTTGGCGGTCAACAAATAAAACCTCTCGAAACCATTTTTTTCGAAAATCAAATATGCTGGGGTATTGCTCGGAACCTAAGTGGATCTGGGCAGTGTAGATGCACGATAAGATGCCATTAGATTTACTATCTTTTTTATACGAGAAATAAACAATAGTAAGCGGAATATTCCAAATCATTGTCGATCGGGATAGTAGAGGTTCTTGATTCCGTTATAAAACAATAAATAAATAATCTGAACTAAAGGATAAAAGTTAACCAAGGTACTAGCAGGCAACCAAGCAATTTGAAAGATAACAAAAACCAACTGAATTTAAGTCTCCCTTTCTTTGTTATGCAAATCACAACGTCAACCGGAGAAACTCCTGAAAATTGAAAATTAAATATCAAGCTAGAAACGAGGAACGAAATATGCTCAGACTTCGAATTAATGCTTTAAACAAACCAAAATTACAAGTCCGCACGACACCACTTTTACCCGAGACAGTTCGCCAAATGTTACGTACCGTGCAACGAGCGTAAAGAGCTCATAAAATCGATGCGATAATGGCAAGACCGCAGCACAATACGCATGGCCGAATAAACGAAAGTGGCTTAACAACATATGCCTTCGATGTTTTTGTAGTGTACTTTTGAGAAAACCTAACTTTCAGTGCACTCTCAGCCCGTGATCCTCGTTATGCCGTTCTAGGTTAAAGCCATGGACTTCAGCGCTGTCGTCCAATACTGATGTTTTTGCTTGTTTTTAATTCCTGCCAGGAATCTCGAAACTTATGAAAATTATGGCAGTAGGTGAGATTGCTAGTAAACAGGAGGCCGTTGTGGTATGAGTGGTTATCTTTTTGTTCTCACTCCAGACCTCGTAAAGACGCTGTTCTCCGAAATGGCAAAACGTTATTTGGACCAGGTAGCAAACGGTTTTAAACTGTAGTTACGTAGTAGAGGTATATAATACAAGACTCTGATTTTCGACAAAACGGAACTATTGATTTCCGTCTGCTGATCAGCACAAATAGAGGCATGCTAATCTCATGTGCTTAGAACGATTACATCTCAACGAAGATGGTGCAAGAGCGTTAGTGCCGCTGTGAGACGACGTCTCGGTTATAAAGCAATTCTAGATTGCAATATCTGGCGTGCAACTTTTCTTTACGCTTTTGCTGATTAAAGACTGCATATGTACCAGAAACCGTCATAAAAATGCCATCTTGGTCTCAATTCCATAAGGAAAAATTGCTCAAATTTATCGCCCAGAAAAAGATTAACGCAATTTTGTATGATCAATAAGGCGGTTCTTTTTCTCATCCAAAAACCATGAGGGTCTTATTCAAGGTAAAATTGTTAAAATCCTACAAGCAGTTTATGCAGCAGTTTACGAACTGTGATACTTCGGACCCAACAATCAAATTGAAGTCATTCAATGACCGCTGCGGCTTGCAATTTGTGGGTTAATTTCTAGACAAAATTTGGTCTGAAAGTGGATTATACCTACCTGGGAAAAGATAATACTGGGAATAAGACTTACATTTCCCGCTTGTAAACTAAGATTTGCATGTCGCTGATTCGTATTGTTAAAAGACGAATTTCAAACAATTATTGGCATTACATAGAACATGACTTTTGCAAGCAACGAAAGCATGAAAATACAACGAAACGATATTTTTCACATAATCGCGGAGGTTAAAAGGTCATTTGAGTCACAGGTGAAACAGGCTGACATTTGAGTCACACTGTTGAGGCGTGTACTGCAGAAGCGTAATTGTTGACAAGACAGAATTATTCCTTTCTGCTCTGGAATCAACGCAGATCGATGCACTCTTACTACATGTGATTAAAACCTTTTGATTACAGCACTATGACACGAGGGCGTTAGTACCGATGCCAGCGGACCGCTCGATTATAGTGTGGTTTGGGATTAGAATCACAAATGTGCTGATAACTGACGCAAATATATCAGAAATCCCCATTAAAATGTCTTTTTAATCTGAATTTAGAAAATATCTATCATTTTACTTTTTTGCAATAAAAGCTGCTAATGCGCGTTAATTTGTATCAATACAGTCTTTTTTGTCGACTACAGTATAACAAGTTTTTATGTAAAATACAATAGTTATAACTATATAAATACATTACAAGCCAGTCGATTATTTATGCTTTTTCGTATCCCACAGACAAACTTTTCAATCAATCAACCACCACAGTGGTGTTCAAATGGTCATCTTTTTAAGTAAAAAAACTTTAGGATACAATTGGTCTTGAATGTTTAAGGGAAGGCAATTCGTGGATCTGTAATAACCTTGTTAGCATAT